TTTGGTACAAATTAAAAATTAGTAAAAAAGTGCTTGCAGGGCCCCTTTAAAGGGGTACTCCACCGATTTTTTGAGCTACCTCAACTAACTATATTTTCTGACTCCCCGGCCTTTACCCTTTCCGGTATGCTATTTAGTATCGCGAAATTCATAATAGGTATTGTGAAATCGGCAAATGAAAATGGTGCAAAAACCAATATTCAAATATTCGCGGACTTTTCAGTGCCGTGACGTCAGTGGCAGGCAGGCTTGCCAGTCGAGCAAGTAGTCTAAAAATAGAATATGCCAATCATTTGTTCCGTGCTGGAGCGCGGATACGGGAGCGAGCTTCCAGAGCACTCATTTGACACCAAGAAACTGCTTCAAATCCGTTGGAAACAACTTTTGTAGTCCAAAAAGTTAACCCCTGCCTTCTACTGACGTCACTTTCTTGTTGTTGCCAGTAGAGACTTTCAGTTTGAAAAACATGGTGAAGACCAAAACTGTAAATTCAATAACTTCGCGAAAAAACAATATTTTGACCTAATATTTCGAATACTATTTTAGCAATGTTTGTTGGTTAGTTTAGCGAAATTTCAAGCAAATAGGAGACAATGAAAAAAACGGTGGAGTAAAACCGAAACTACGATACACAGACACCAAACCCAGTTGTCTTGACCGTTTCAAGATTTTCTTTTCGAAGTGTAAGATGTCGTTGGGTACCTAAAAGAGACCACTTCGTCCGATTCCCCGACTCACCGATCATCCTTTGCTATGTGCGTCGAGGGCCGCCATGTTTTCCGCGGCAGGATACAAGTTCAGGAGGCGACATCACAGCGGATTCAGAGTTTTGGTATTTAAAAAATAATGGCTGTAGTGCGTTCGCAATTGCTTTAAAAACATGTTTCACGAATGTCATTATTAAGTTCCATAGAAATGTAGCCTTCAAAGGTTTGAAATTTCATGATAATTGACGTCACGTATCAAACGAAGCGAGGAGGTAAAAAGCGGAAAAGAAAAACACCAAAATTAAAAAATGCGCGCGCGCGTGAAATTCTCTTTTTTTTTTTTGCGGTGTTGTATTTTTTTTTGAGTGTTTATGTCTACAATTTTCATCGTTCTAGACAAAAAATACATTTGACCATGGGGTGTCAGCGGCCGTTTAAAGGCTGCATTCAAACCACTAGCGTTGCGGAAAGAGCTTATTGGTGACATGAACCCTATCGCAGTACAATGCATTCATATCTGATGGCAGCCCTTCATTATTTTGTCTTATTTTAAATGCAAAAAGGTGTTCGTCACAGCTAACCCGCGCAGCGTGTATGTTAAAAAAAAAATATGCCTTTAAAAACCTTAGGAGGGCTAAATTAGATGGCGAAAAATTCCTCGTTTGTTAGACCTCATGAGGTCACAAAATATCTTGTAGGCCTGGTTGCCCAAAAGAGAAAACTTTGGACCTTCAGCGTCAGAAGGCCCCGTATTTCTAGAAGTAGAGGCAGCTGCGTTACAAACATTCGACACTTCTTACTGCTACTTGGATAGTGGCCAGCGTTGGGAATAAGCTCGTTTTCATTTTTTCCGCACATATGCAAAGTGGTGTGCAGCTTAAATAAAAGTTATGATGCATTTTATCATAACTTAAAGAAGGTAGCCAGTCCATTGGCAAGGAGATCGAACTAGAGGGGGTGCTATGTTCAACTGGATTTCCCGAAAGTTCAATGTTCACCAACACAAGGCACGTGCACTACGTTTTTTACATCGTCTCTCTTGATTGCGCACGGAACAAAGATTGGCCGCGGATCGTGCCCAATTTTTTTCTAGGGCTCAGTCGAGAAAAATAAGGTAAGAAACCCGTGAGCGCAACGTTATTAGGTTATCTCAATTACGGAACTGCTCATGGACGCTGCTTGCACGACTAGTACCCCAGCTCCTTCACCACGACTCGCCTCCCGTCGTTTGACGTGCCGGACGGCTGTTCTGGTAGCTACAGTGTATTTTATCAAATACGTACGCTTCGAAGCACAGCGTCTAGGTGGTGTTCCACCGTACTCTATGGAACACATGGTTATGAAATTAATATCTAAATGGCGCTTCAAACGACGGGAGGCGGACAGAAGTGAGTGAGGGAGAGCTGTGGAACTCTCTTTTCGGCGGGAGTTCCACAACTAAGGTGATTAGTAACGTTCCCAACGCTGGCGCAACTTTTTGCTATGGGGGCCGAGCGCTGCGTCGAAACACAAATAAATCACCTATGTTGTTGTGTTCCTTAGAGCCACTAAATAAGCTACCCTTCAGAGTAACGACACTTCAGCCATCTTGCTGCTTAAACTTATGGTTGCCAGCATTCTGAAGATTAATCTGAAATCACAGAAAACGTTTTTCCGTCCTCCAGAAATGTTATAACAGTTCGCGGCAAAGCAAACCGTCATCATTTGGACGTCCTACCACCGTGTCTAAAGCTGAAAAAGTTGAAATTTTGAATTGTAACAATTATTAGTCGCGTGTGCTCTGCTCTAAGCATCAAGATGGCGGCTCCCACTAGCACACCGGGAGACGGGGTGTGGATACTCTAAGCGTAGCTCATTTAGTGACTCTAGTTGCTCCTAGTGCCACTAAATAATCTACGCTCCGGAGAAACAGCACTTGATTAATCTTGGTACTTTGAATCATGGTTGCCAGTTGTCTGGAACTTTATCTCAAATCGCAGAAAAAGAATTTTCCGTCTTCAGAAATATTACAACAGCTGGCGACAGAGCAAAACAAATATCACCGGAGTTTCCAAACACCGTATCTAAAACTGAGGAAGTCGCAATTTTGGATCGTGACGATCCGCAGTTGCGTCTGCTGTGCACGAAGCACCAAGATGGCGGCACCCACTCGCAGACCGGGGAAAGGATTGCCGACACTCTAAGCGTAACTCGTTTAGAGAGTGTGGCTGTCGCCATCGGTGTAGTTCTCAATTTAGCCACAAGGGGTGCAACGGTTGGATCTCCTTCGCAATACTTTCTTTCACATTAAGTCTGAACGCAACCAACGCTACGATTGGAAGAAGTCAAATAACGAGCGCTAAAAATGCATCGTCTTGGCGCTCGTTGCCTTTTTGCGTTTGCTGCCTCCGGCTTAACCAATCACGCACATTAAATACGTCGTGATCCTCGGCTTTCTTGTCCGTGATTGGTTTAGACGGTGGTGGTAAACGCACAAAAGCGACGAGTGTCATGACGATGCGCTTTTGTCACCATGGTATTGGCTCCACCAAATTGTAGTTTCGGCTGCCTTCGGACCTCATGGGAAACGGGATAAAGATGCCGAGATTACTGCAGCAATTTCAGAAAGCTGGACTGACCTGACAAGATTGTTTTCGTATTGCTTTTCGTGTTGATTCACTTAACACGCCTTGCAAGCGTGAAAGGGGAGAGGGGGGATGTTGAAATATAACGCGAGGTGGGCGTACGTTATAAGATTTTTTGCCTCAAAAGGTTCACGTGCTTTTAAGACTTCGTGTTACATCTTCAACGTCTTATAAACGTTAATCTATCAGGTTCAGTACCAATGCTGAACTGGGTTTTTTTCTGCAAACCACGCAGCTGTTACCACGACCGGTCGCTAAAAGAGTGTTTTTGTATTGAAACTGTCAAGAGAAGACATTGAACCAAGGATCCTCAGATCCTATAGGTTGGAGCTCCACGATCTGCAAGCTGCAGTGCACTAGCAGATCCGTTCACCGACCGCCCTGAGAACTGTATGAAATCCCGTTGCAGTCCTTATCTGCTATCGCCGTATGCGTCATTACCTCACGCCCATGTTCAGGAGGGACGGCATTGATAGGCCTTTCGCGAAATGCTTAGCACCCTCCACCGGCGCGAGAAGGTATTCTTCGAAACGATTGTGTAAAGATACTCAAAAAAGGTATTGTTGTTTGAAATGCTTCCATTAAACTAAACGCCTACGACTTAGACAGCGAGGGCCTTGCTTAGAAGAGGTAATGGCGCGGAATGCAAAGGAAAACGACGCATCTTTAGCTCACAATTTACGTAGAAACGAAAGCGGTAGCTGTAGCGCGGTCGCGGAATGTGAGTGGAATGGCACCGTCACGTACTTGTGGATGAATGTGCGACATGGTAAATTCTTATAGCCGTCATGGTCGCCGTCATGGATGCCACTGACGGCCGCCACGAGTTCTTGGTGATCCACGAAGTGAGTATGTGAGTGCGGTGGATGTTTCCGAAACCATCCAACATTAAGCGTAGCAACTGTATACTGCCGAAGTAGGATTTCGCATAACGCGAGGGATGTTTGAAAACAACTGTTTGAAGCAGACGACACGGCGATTCTCTCTTTGTCGCGTGATTCTTGGCGGTACGCCAGGGCTGCCCCTGTCGTTCTCTTCGCGGAGCACGGCCGACAGTAAGTCCCGACTTCCCTCCTGTCGCGCCAAGAAAGGAGAGAATAAGCGTTTGTCTGTCGTACGTGTCCTCACTTTTTCGTTCTTGTTTTTCGCGCGCTTTCTATTTTATCATAAACTGCTATCAACCAGCCCAATTTTCAACCCTGCTGCAAGGTTTTTTTATAGCGGTGACGACAACCTACGAGCTGGAAATCTCTGCGAAATTCCGCCCGTAAAGGAATCGCTTAAAAACAAAAAAGAGGTGGGGATGTACAGGAAGAGGTTGGCCAGACCGGCCGTTTGCAGAATCTATGGGGCAGAGTTGGAGAAACAGACAGTAGAGTCGGAGAAACACACAGTACAGGCCGTTCTGCTAGAACCAGTTGTGGGAAACGACAAAAGAAATGCAGATGAGGACGCTAGGGCAAACGAGCAACTGCACTAGGTGGCACACCTCTTTCTCACGCTCTTTCTAGTATGATGCGGAAACAGGGAAGGAGCATACAGGTTGTTCCCACAATTCGTTGTGTGCCTCGCGCGTTGCGCTTTAGGATTTTCGAAAACGGTTAATTTCTTAGCATGTGCAAGTTTTTGCGCCCGAAGCTCACTATTGCTTCAATTTCCTTCTTCACAGCGGCGTACGAGGAGGTGGCCACCATCGCGCGGCCTCCCGTGGACGTGGTGCCGCGCAAGCCCACGTCCAGCAAGACCGGCTACATCTTGTCGGCGTTCCGCGTCTTCCCGGGCGAGGACCGCGAAAAGCTGGACCGATCCTGGCTCCTGTGGACCGGCGCCCGGCAGATATACCGCCGGCTGCCCCCGCACCTAGGTCTGCGCCGCATCACCTTCCACAAGAAGATCTGCCCCGTGGACCACGGCATCACGTACGTCCTTCTGTGCGAGTGCCCGTCCCTCATGGACTACGTGCCGGAGGCCTGCGTGCTCGTCGACCAGCTCAGGGCGAGATGCTGCGGCTACACCGCGCTATACCGAGTCGTCGACGCCTTCTGACACAGGTGGTGCCTGGCAGGGATGCGTGCCGGCAGAGTTCGGCTGGTGTGAATGCGAGAGTGCTGGTTCGTGCTCGGTCCATGGTGCTCTGCCAGTGGTTTCGACCGTGTCTTGCAGGCGGCGCTTCGACATCACGGTTGTGTTTGGAGGAAACGTGTGCGACGCACTCGTATTTGAGATGGGACTAAGAAAAGCAGACAGTCTTGTTAGGGCCTAGACAGGAGAAATATGAGGAGGTGTGACAAGCTTGCAGAAGTAGAAGCGCGTTTGTCTGCTTGTTCATTTAATGTAAGTCCTCCTTTGGAAAGAATGTTCACCAATGTGTTTTTTCTTTTAGCATTCTTGCTGGGTTGTGTTATTAACTGGGCAACATGAACTCATAAAAATACTGAAAACATCGATGCGGACACTGTGCTCGTGGAAGATAAGGTTGTTACTATATTGTCTTTTCTTTTGATGGCCGTTGTGGTACGATAAAGGCGTCTAAAAGTATGTAAGACAACATTACATTACAAAACTCATCAAAGTGTGGGCAGACGTATGTTGATATGACTTCAAAGTGTGGGCAGAAGTATGTTGATATGATACTGGTAATTTCCGTAATTTTTTATTGTTCATTTATATTTAGGGAAATTCGCTTTTTTTTATCGTCAGGTTGTGTGTCTGCTTTTTCTTGTACTGTGATTCCTTTTGGTATACCTGGCTTTGTGGGTTTATTCGGAGCGCATTAATCATTTAATCAATCAATCTATATTCGCACAAATCAAGAAGATGGCGTGTAGTTAATATGTCATGCTTTTGGACTCGCCGTAACGTGTAATGGGTGTAAAGCCACACTTCAAAAGAACTCTTCTGTAGCTCTTGGCGATACTTCAGTGTCCCGGAGTCTACACGATGTCCACGTGTAGACTCAATTAATAAAATTGCTTATAAGCAATTTTATTAATTTTTTATGGGAGGCACGTTTATTTATTTAATACTGCGTCTCTTAGTAGCGCAGTGTTTGGGGAGATGAGTTACCTGTCTCGCCTTATAGGCTACACTGAATCATTAAAATGGGAAACTGAGCCGTTAGAACGGGCCATCTGTTGCAATGGTTGGCGTGCGTAAAGCTAAGTAGTCTCTTAATCCTATGCACAGTGGCCGGTGAGACATAGTATCGAGATGTGTGTTGAAGTCGACGTTCATCGACCTGCCCGGGCATACCTCCTCATCTGGGGTCACGTGGTGTGATGTCTCGATGACGCCTGCGGCCTGCTAAGCCCGAACGGGATGTGAAGCATCATCGAAAGTCTGAGTGGTTCGCTCACGGTACAGGACACCTCGGTAACCACGCCCACTGCCGTGCACCCTGAGACACTCACGATGGCACCTCCGTAGAGGCTTGTATCCTCGACTATGACTCATCGTTCCGTCCTATGGGACGCAGCCGACACTTCTCAGAACTCTGCGGTGTTCCGGAGTTGAGAATCAGAACGGTATTTTGCATTGTGTGATGAGCTTAGTACACGACACCCTTCGACCTCTTGGCACAAGGTGGCACTGAACTAGGAGTCTTTAATGAGAAAAAGTTACTCAAGCCTTCAGCGTCCACAACGATGGACAATGAAAGAGGATAGACCAATGCTTGCCGCAGTTTTTTTTCGTGTCTCCATCTGTTCATTGTCCTCTCAGCTATTGCAAAATAGGAGAACCACAGTGCTTTATGGCAACACTCTCCGCGTTGGAACGTGGCCTGTCATCGAATGACAAAATCAAAAGTATGTTGGGTTTTTTTTGTACTTTTTCTTAAAGCGGGATGCGCTCCAACACGATCCAGGGGGTCAAACACGGGGCTCTCGACGCTTTATACCTTCACTGTGCACACTTGTCCTTAGGCCCAGTTCACGAGTTGCATGCAGTGCCATTAGAGGAACAAGCGTTGAAGAGCGTTCCTGATAAATTAATTTTTTGCAAGAGCGTTTTTGTATAAAAAGCGGTTTGTTAGTTTATTTCTACCTCCCCGTACCAATTCCAGTTCCAAACAGAGCTGAATAGAAGTATACGATACTAAAATTTAATTGGGTAATAGTAATGTTATAATATAATAATATGAATATCTTTATTTGGCTAGAGAGAGCCGCGGCACCGCGGAAAGGCAACAGCCCGACCACGAAGGTCCGCGGTGCCGCGTCTAATGAACATGAGAGTGCGATGAATATATACGTGCAAGATGACGACGAGATGAATTGCTGTTAATGTGGAGGAGGGCAGTTCGATTTGCAGACGTCCAGGATTTGTTGAGGCGTGTCAGCAGCAAGCCATGGGTATCTGGCACGTCGTTCGATCGGTGCATGCAGCACGAAAGAGCCCTGAGAGCATGTTGGCGCCTCCGTAGAGGCTTGTATCCTCCCTTACGACCCGTCGTTGCGTCCCGTGGGACGTTAAGATGGGTCATAGTATAGGATACGAGCCTCTATAGAGGTGTCATCTGGCTCTTCTGTAGACGAGCACGATAATACCTTTTCACTCCTCTGTAGGGTTATTCTTAAGAGCCAGCTTAAGAGACGCAGAGTGTGCCCTAATATGTTTCCGCCATGTGATTGGTCCTTGGACATTCTTATCGGCTAATGCCGCAGCCTCATTGGCTGCGGGGCGACAATAAGGGCCTGTTGCTCAAGGCAGACGATAAGTAGCTGACGACACATGAGCAGCGCTACATCGGTGCTTCGCTGCATGTGTTGACCGCACTTTAGGTTATTGACACTGTTCACGCTCTGCGTTCCTTGCGCTGTCAGTGAGAATAGCCAACGTTTGATGGAACCCTGCGCATACTTCCAGCGGAGCAGAGTGTACGTAAATGACTTTGCTCGAATAATGTTCTCTATTTTGATGCCCTCAGGCATTTTTTTTTTTTTTTTAATATTAATAATAGCCTAAAGTGACCGCTTGTGTTGCTAAACTTGTACTTCTGGTTTCGAATGAATCCTTCTCACTTTTCGAGAACTCCTATACAAACCTAAGTTACCTAGCTCTGAACTCTTTTGAGCCTAATACCAGAGCTTACAAACGAATTTGAGAGCATTAACGTGTTTATACGTCGAAATGGGTTTCATCGAAGGGCTTGTGGAATTTTTAGTTACTGGCTCGAAACTACCAAAAAGCGGCTTATCGTTCTACACGAATTATTATGTGCTGTGGGCGATCTTGTAAATTGAACTTATTCTAGGACAATATTTTCCGTCATCTACGACTCTAAGAAAATTTAACAGTGCTCACGATTATATTGGTTGATTAGATACTTCAAAAATATATTGCTTATAAAACTGTTCGAAATTTTCAAATTGGAGTTGTGACGGTTGGCCGCGAACGATGCGTACAAAAAAATCAAAAATTATTCTGAGATAAGGAGAGCGTCCTTATCGGCTTTGCGATTTAGAAGCAGTTATGAAAGTCTTATTATGAATTACAAACAGCTTTATACAATTTTACCAACGTGGCAAAATGTAAAAAAAAACACGTTCACGGCCCACAGTTCCTACTGTGCTGCAGTTCAAGTTTCAAAATGTTTTTACCGTCGTGCTGCTTCCGTACCCAATTTTCATAAGAATACTCCAAAAAGTTCAAAATTCGAGTACAACGTGCGATTCCCAGGCTTCTTAGAATCACTCGAAGCTTCTTATAAAATAGGAAAGGTTTACACTTCTTGCGATTAATACAACGAAGATTAGCGTTGGTTTACATAAAAAAATATTGTTCCTTACGTCTAACTCATGATTGTGCTGTTGATCTTGGAAAGAAAAAAACCAGAAATCACAGGCCCAAACAAAACAAACACAAGTGTGACTGTCGTGTGTGCGTTCGTGCGTGCGTACACGTGTGTGTGTGCGTGCGCGTGTCTGTGTGTGTGTGTGTGTGTTTATGTTAGAAGACCCCAAGTTGCATATAAGGCACGAAACCCACACCTGGCTTCGTTTCTTTGCTGCGTAAAACTCATCTGGTTAAATAAGGGAATCTAAATTTTTACTGCGAATTCAATCGTTTATGTGTCTTCTATACTGCTAAAAAGTATGTAGAGAAAAAAAGGGATTTAGCGAGCAATCCTCCACATTTGTTTAAATCAGTCTTCTAACACGTTGTCGCTATCATAGATCGACAATGCAAGGCCGTCACTCCACAAAAAAAATGTTCCCCTTCGGGTTTTCATGACTGGAAGCAAAAGAGGCCTCAGTCAGATTGGTACAAGAAATGCCTTAACAGCAATTAAGCACACGTGACTTTATTGTACGAGCTACTCGTTCGCTTGAGTTCGCCTCCAATACTGGATGCGGACAAAGTTGCCTGGTACCCACCTATGAAGGATTTTCAAAAACGTAAATTCATTTCCCTCACTCTCAAAAAAAAGGTATCACCATACACTCTTTCGTCCCATATAATACACCCCAAAGCTTCAGTTCGACGTACAGCGCGCTGACGTCGGACTGGCGGTACCAACTTCCACAAGGGGCTTGATAGCGAATCAAAATTAACTGTTGGGCTAGTTGGCTATACATTGTTAAAAATCATAAGCGCAAACACCAAGTAAAAAAGAGGGGACAGGACAGAGCGCTCGGTCCTGTCCCCTCTTCTTTTTTTTGGTGTTTGCGTTTTTGATTTTTAACGAGGCTTTATAACCTCGTAGTAGACTTATTAAAATAGCTAGGTACGCCTTACTGACGAAAAAAAAAAATCTTATTTTTTTGTTCTTATTGCAAAACCTCCGTGTTTTCTGTCTTTGGTCTTTGATACCTAGTTTAGTTAATTAATAAGCTATACCGACCTGTTATGAAGCCCCCCGTAAAATTTCAGTCCGTCTGTTCGACTATACAGCGTTGTACGTCGAACTGAAGATTTGGGGTGCATTATATGGAGAGTGCTCGCATTTCTTGGCGCCTTGTTTTCTGAGTGAATGTATCATGTAAAACTCTACGTGTGGATCAGACAATGGTGTATTCAGGAATACCCTGTACTTTGTTCGCCAC